ATGAACCCACAGCAAAGCGTTTCACATTTATCAGAATGTGATATTTATCATTAGAGCACACATCTGCACCAATGAGTTAAGAAAATATCCACAGAAACTTGATGATTTTGTGAGGCCGTCTCAGCAGCTGTCATTATGCTGAAACAAGCCGCGCAGGAAAGAAGCAGCCTGAGCCAGCCAATCACTGAGTGTTCCTGCCTTATTTTAATGTGAAACATCAAACTTGCAGACTGAAAACAGAAAGAGTTCGCCTCCAAAGTAAAAGTGGAACCCTTTGAACCCTGTTGGTTACAATGCCAAGGCAGAACTTTTACTTTGAAGGCGAACTGTTGTTGGTTTAGTTTGATCCGTCTTTTCAGTCTCGCTGGCGTCTTTGTCACCGTTTTCATCGAGCAGCAGTCTGCAACTACTTGCCACCTGGTTAAACACACATTTTTCCATGGCAACCAGAGCGTTGCCAGGCTCCCAGAGAGACCGAGACTCCAAAAGTCAAACTCAGTGAAACTATTCTAAAGAGGTTTAATTACATGTTTGATACTGGAAATATCTCAGAACAAGAAAAAGTAGAGCATAATTTCATCTGCAGGAAAAAAATGCTGCTGGAGTAAATTAGAATAGAACAGCCCTTTATTCGTATTTATTGTACACGTGCAATGAAACTGTAGACTTAACTGTAAATGAAAGGCTTGTTTGCAGGAAACTTTGTGTTTAACTTTGTGTTTAACTGCATAGTTCATATGAAATAAATGTGCAGAAAAAGATGTGGTAGCTCTCTGCCCACCCTCTGCTGTAATCATCAGAAGGTTTCAGTTAGTAACTTGTTACTCAAAGTGACGAGTGAATGAATGAACACTGAATGAAACTGTGAAACTCATGAAAAGTCCAAACCTGATGGCCTTCATATTTATTATTATTTATATTTCTTCATATTTTCCAAACTGTCCACTGGCTGACGTGGCGTCTTTGCCTCAGACGATCGAGTGAACAGCGTTACAAACTCATCCCTGATCCGTCGTGTAGGACGCTGCAGAACCATTAAAATGTGTTTATTGAAGAAAAACTCAATTTACCTGCTCTGTGGTGCATCGACATTCAAGCTGAGCTAAATCAATCCGTCCTGATCTGAGTTTGTCTTCACTTGTTATTATAAATCACATTTCTACACATTATAAAGCTTCCAAACATCATCAGAGATTTTCTTTTCTAACCTTCGCTGATGTGTTTCCCTCGTCTGTGTCCATGAAGCTACGGGCGGCTGAGTAAATGCCAGAAAAGTAATCTGCTCGCTCATTTCATGCACAGTTTTCATGTT